AGTTTTTCCAAGATTTTTGAAAACTGTGACAACAGAGAAACCGGTCTATAATTTGTGAAGTTGTGCTTATCACCAGATTTATACAGTGGAATCACCTTTGCTATTTTCATATTATTGGGGAACTGCCCAAGTCGAAATGACATGTTAAAAATATGGGTTAATGGTTTGCATATCCCCTCAATCACCCATTTAACAGTTGTCATAGTTATACCATCACTATCACTAGATGTTTTGTTACCACATTTATTCACTATCTCTATAATTTCCTTTTCAGCTATGGGTTTCAAAAACATGGAACTCATGTTCCTTTCGATTGTATTATTATTTATAGTGATGGATGTATCATCTGTACAAATGCTTCTTGCTAAACTAGGACCAACATTCACAAAGAACCTATTAAACTTATCTACTACATCCTCCAATCTATTAATCGGTGTATCATTATCCATAAAATATTGAGGGTAGTTACTCTTGCTGGAACTGTTTCTTATCAATTTATTTAATATATTCCAAGTACCTCTCATGTTATTTTTATTATCCTCTAATACTTTAGAGTAATAGTGTTTCTTACATCTCCTCAATATCTCAATTAATTTGTTCTTATATGACTTATATTTTTCTTCCGCCTTCTTTGATCTGTCCTTTATGAATTCCTTATATAACGCATTCTTCTTTTTACATGCATTCTGTAATCCCTTACTCATCCACGGTTTCCCACTGTAATTCCTCTTGTTTTTATATTGCTTACGAGGACAGTTCCTGTCATATACTTTCTTAAATATATTTAAAAATTGCTCATATGCTTTATCTAAGTCTCTGTAAACTGATTCCCAGTTTTGCCCCATAAAATCCTCTTTTAGCCTCCTTACAGCATGTTCGTTCGTCACCCTCCTATAAAAAAGATTTGTTTTTGGCCTCTCTTTTCTATACTGGCCCTCATAAACCACAAATACTGGTAGATGATCACTAATATCATTTATAAGTAATCCACTTGTCATTTTGCTGTCAATAACATTGGTAAATATATTATCTACAGTATTAGTGTTGCATGCTGGGTTGTTACTCTACTTGGTTTTGTAATTTTTGGGTATAAACTGCATCTATATATTGTGTTAATAAACTCCTCAGTTCCTGTGTGCTTGTTAGGATTTAACAAATCTATATTGAAGTCACCACATATGAACATTAATTTATGACTTATTGTCAAGTAATTTTCTTCCATCCAGTCATTAAATTTTTCTATGCTGGCTCCAGGTGCTCTATAAATACAGCTTATTACAACATTTTTCTTTTTTTCCAAAAGTAATTCAACAGTCACGCACTCCAATAACTTATCAACTACCCTAGACATTTTGTCTACATTCTTATAACAAAAGTTCTTATCTATGTACAAGGCCACACCACCTCCCATCTTATTCTCTCTGTTTATGCATACCAAGTCATAGCCTTCAAGGTCAAAATCCTTGCTTTCATTGTGAATTCCCAGTAAATCTGTAGCAGACGGAAACGCTGATGGTCGATCCAGTAACTGTACTTTGTCACTTGCCATTTTCAAGACTGGCTGACATCTGCACTCGACATCCGGGTTTATCTAAGTTTTACTGGGTTAATGGCATGAGGATTTTTTTAAAATTCAATAACTTTAGATTTTTTTTCTGCGTATGTCTTCACCTATTTAAAATGAACCAAACAATACATACATTACCTGAACTGAACAGGTTGGATTTCTTATTGAACCATTTCACCTCTAATGCAAAACATGTTTTTACTGCATTCGAAATAACTGCTGTAATGCAGACCAGGCATTCAGTAAAGGGTGTAAATAAAACAAACATGGTTTCCTGACCGTGATCGTCTACAGCATTGATGTCCGCGTGGCAGTGGATCAGCTCTTCCACCATGCCCTCCACAGCTAGTCTGGCTGCCAGGATTAGAGGAGTAGTGCCGTCATTCATCCGGGCATCCAGCTCTGTTGCACGATTACGGATGAGAATCTGAGAGAAGGCAAAGTTTAAGACACAAGATGATGAATAATGATGAAAGGCCCTAGTGAAGCAGATTTCAGAGTTATCAGTTCCTAAGTCAAGTTCAGAGAGCTGTCTCACCTGGAAGACTCCCTGAGCATCGGCCGCAACAGCAGCATGCAGAGGAGTTCTGCCCATGTTGTCATGTGCATTGGGATCAGCTCCAGCATCCAGCAGTCTCTTAGCAGCATCAGCTCTGGCATAGCGAGCAGCCAGGTGGAGTGCTGTTTCTCCTGTGCGGTCAGTCTGGGCAATCAGTGAAGCACCCTGATTGATCAGGTCTGAGATGATGCTTGGTCCTGGTTCATCTCCTCCACTTTCCTCCTCCTCTTCTCCATGCAGGCTGCAGTCCGGGCCTCCACAGTTACGCAGCGATGCCAGCATCAATGGAGTGAAACCATCTGAGAGAGAAGTTGTTTATTATGACATCAAATTGTTTAGAAGGAATTAAACCTAGAAACTGAGAAGTAAATCCTCTCACCAGGTCCCTTAACATTAACATCCAGACAGTCACCATCCAGGTCAGCCTGCGGGGGAGTGAGTGTTATGTCAGCAGCCTTGTGGTGCTGCAGGGTCCATTCCCTTCGGTCAACACTTCCATCCATAGCCATGGGCAACAAAGGTTTGTCCTCAGTCTAAAAAAAAAAATTCAAAATAAAAAAATCAGAAGAACCTGATACAACATTCACAACAACCGAAGACTGTACTCATGTCCCAGACACCCAATTTAATTTTAACTACTCCAATCATCAACTTCATTTGGACAATTTCTTTCTTTCTCAATTCACTTACTCTTGATTTCTTGCATGAGGCTTCATCTTCCAGCCATTGCTGATTCTGAAGTCCATCAATCATGGTTCCATTCTGGGTCTTAAAATTTCTATGACATGACAAAACAAAAATTTTAAGTACCATTTTGTTCTACTTACATTTATTTCAACGCTCAATGTCAGTCTTAATAGTTGCAGTAAAGTCTGTTAAATTTCTGTGCCCACATCTCCCCCAGATCATCTGAGAAGCCCTACATTTTACTCTGGTATGAATTCTTATCCACTGGCTATTATCATATATTCTACTTCAAATCCTCTTGAACACAAGCTGTTTGTCTGTATATCCACTCACTTCATGTCAAAGTCATCCTGTCCAACAGGCTCTCTCCTCTTGTCATTTTTATTAGCCAAGAAGCCATCAGGCAGCCACAGGACACCATGTTTATGCTTTCTCTTGGCTGCTAGCATCCCAATCACCAGAATAAGCAGAATAATGCCCACTGCCACTGCAATCAAGAATATCCAAGGGTTTGGTTCATTTGGCCCAGTCGGTTTACCTGGAGGGTACAGAGACAAGTCTAAAAATCTCATCATTTGGTTTTTACCTACAAACAACCCATTTAAACCATTAACCATAAGTGCTGAATGACAGGCCAACTTACTGTTAACAGACACTAGAGGGTAAGGCAGTTCACCCTTGATGTGTTCTGCTGCGATAAAGGACGCAGCCTCATCAGCACTAGAGAAACAGTTGACAGAACTCTGGCAACATTCACGGTTATCGATTTCGAGGTACACCTTAGAGCTGCACAGTCAAATGTGAAAGTACAAAAACAGACATGCAGTTAACTGGTGATTAATTCCAAGCTACCATGTATTATATGTATTATATGGGAACTACAAAGAACATAAACTATATGATTATTTAATCAAAAACTATCTTTACCCAATAACCTCCCTCTCCAGCTCCCGCTTGCTTCTGCTCCTCTTTACAGGTTGGTCTTTCTCCTCATCCTCTCTATGGTAAGCATACACCATTGGTTCCTTATTTCTATCTAGCTTCACCCGCAGGTTGGTGCGCAGTAGGGCTCCCAGGGAGCGCAAGAAACCCCTTATGTCTCCAAGCAGTTCTTCAGGTTGCAGCCGGACCACAATAACCAGTGTGCCATCGGCCAGTTTGGGTGGAGTGTCAGTAGAACAGTCCAGACCGTCCCAGCCACAGGCCTCCGTGGAGCAGCTCTGGTCACAAATGTCGTTCCCGTAGTGGTCTGCGCAGTATCTGTCGTACCTGAAAATACACAGTACAGGAACGATGGTGTTTATCTAATCGCAATAGCAATGAAGAAAAAAAAAAAAGAAAGAGCAGGGTCACATACTTGCAGGGGGTCGGTAGGGCCTCCTGGCATTCAAAGCTGTCAAAGAGGCACCCAGGGTTGTCACACTCCTTATCACAACGTCCATTCTTAAAGAAATCCCAGCAGGGGATGCTAGCAGTGCAGTTAATCCAAGGCTTCTGCCGGTTGAGTGAGCAGTCTCCACCATCCCACTGGCATTCATAGTTGTTGCACTGAACATCACACACTCCATCCCCTGAATTGCGCTCACACTGCACATAGGGGCAGTGTGGAGAGTGTAGTACAGTTAGGTTGTTCTCACAGTAACGTCCGGAAAAGTTCATGGAACAGCTGCAAGTATAATGGTTGGATGAATCTCTAACGCAGGTTCCTCCATTTTGGCAGGTCTGTGGACACCCCTGTTCATTCTCACAGCGTTTCCCAGTAAAGCCTGGTCGACACTTGCAGTACAGGCGGCCATCTCGTGACTGTTCACAGTGCCCACCATTCTGGCAACGTAGCTCTGCACATCTGTTGTCTATTTCATTACAATTTGGCCCAGTAAAGCCCTAAAAGAAATAACATATAATTGAAATATGATAGTAATACATTCAATTTAAAACTCAGGCTTCACTACGCATTTGTCAAGGGTCAATACATCTTTGTAGTTGATGTTTAATGCAGCAAACTACTATAACTAAAGTACCTCCAGGTTCTCTTACAAATATTCTGCTTGTCTACTATACCTGAGCCATGGTGTGGCCTTCTGAAGCAGGCATGAGAATAAGACAGGGAGGAAGAGGTTAGTGGAGGGAAAACAAATAGGGAAAAGGTTGACAGAACTACCTCAGTGTTCTCCTTTCTTTTGCTCTCACACTAGAACATCAATCTCCTGTTCACTTTTATAGTGTTCTGAAGTTGGATTCTTTATTTATTTTAAAACTTGAATGATAATTAAACATCAGAAGGACTGAAGATGATGTATTCTGATTGAAATATTGTGGAATTTTAAGGGTTGGAAACTGTTTATCAGGCTTTTGTATAGAGAAAAGTCTAAATCATACATTTAACCTTATTCTTCACTGTTTGATAGTCCAGTGTAGAGGGATGCATGGTAGCCAACAGATTATTAAGAAATTAAGTGCAAAACGGTCATGTACTGAATGATGAGGATGTATCAGGAAATTGAGGAGCATTACTGCTCTTGATTGTTTTTTTTTGTATTGATGAATTGTAACACAATCTTGAACAGTTTGGCCAAAATGAGTGTTTCATATAGAGACACCACTTTCAATCTGGGTTGTACACTAAACTTTGTAGCATACTGTATGCGCAAAAGCCAAAACAGAATAAAAATCAAAACTATGCATATACAGTACATGTCAATAGTCATTTGAAAAACTGATGAGACCCTAATGAAAAATAAAAATCTGGTATAAATGTGTTTATATCACAGTTGTAATAATGAGAGCTTGTGATCAAAGTACAAAAATGCCTGGAAACATAATGATTGTAAAGCCTGTATGTAAGCACAAAGGAAGAGAATCAACTGAAACAGTGTTATCTTACATTACCACAAATGGGCAAACATTAAAGAAACTTACAAAAACACAGGAACAGGTGTAGCCATGTACTGAGCTCATGTTCATAGAGCAGATGCCACCATTACGGCACGGTTTAGACAGACACAGATCCACCATGGCCTCACAATGACGACCTAGAAAAACAAGAGGGGGAAACAAAAATTGGTACAGAAAATGATTAACAATGGAACTACCTGAAATACGTCTGAGGAACACAGAGACATTTACATTACTGAAACACTGTACATAAAAACACTAATGCCTCATTGATGTTCCAACATATAAAACGATTAGATATGGTGCTGTCACTTCATGTTCATCAGCTAAAATGGATATACCTGTGTATCCAAGGCGACAGCGGCACTGGTAATCGTTGACCAGCTGCACACAGTCGAGGCTACCGGGAGTGTGGCAGGGCCCAGAGTGGCATTCATTAAGATCGCCCTCACAGTGTTCTCCAGTGAATCCTGGCAGGCAGGAGCATGTGTAATGGCCCACACCATCCACACACTGTCCTCCGTTCCGACAGCGGGGTTCCCAGGAGCCGGGCGTGGGAGCACAGTCATCATCGTTCACTTCACACTGGAGCCCTAAGGAGGTCAGACAGATATTACTGCATGGATCAATTTGTATTATATAATAATATTCTAAAACACATTCTGGGGTAATCATGTTTTTAACTGTAAAATAATACATGATAAACTGATACTTGATTTTTATACAAAACACACTATACATCCAACATGGATTGCTCCTTTGGGTTGGGAGTTAGTTGCTGCCCCATGCAAAGCAGTTTAAGTATCTCAGGGTCTTTTTCACAAGTGAGGGTAAAACGGAGCTTGAGAGTAACAAGTGCATTGGTGCAGCGTCAGCAGTAATGTGGGTGTTGTAAAGAGAGGGGACTGAGACAGCAGGCAAAAGTCTCAATCTGTGTTCCAATCCTTACATATAGTCACAAGCATTGGGTAGTGCCTGAAAGACAGACTATGAGATCGCAAATACAAGCAGCCGAAATTAGTTTATGCGACAGGGGGCCTGGACTCAGCCTTAGAGATAAGGTGCAGGCCTCAGACATCCAGAGGCAGGTCGGGGTAGAGCTGCTGTTCCTTCATGTCGGAAGGAGCCAGCTGAGGTGGGTCGTGCATCCAGATAGGATGCATCTGCCATTGGCGGCTTTCAGGGCACAGCCAACAGGTAGGAGGGCCTGGGACAGACCCAGAATACTCTGGAGAGATTATCTCATCTAGCTTGTGAACCCCTCAGAGGAGCTGAAAAATGTTATATGGGAGAGGGGTGTCTTTACTACCCTGCTGCAACTGTGACCCAACCTCAGATAAGTGGCTGAAAATGGATGGATCGAGAATTTCTTTTCTGCCATGAGAACTACTGAAGCTTTAAGAAGATGGTGCCACTTGCCCCAACCAATCCAATCCACCACAGCAAGTATTACTGTACCGCTGTATTACTAATATATATTGTATTGTATTTACTAATCACCTAGTATGTGAGTACTTATGGGCATATGCTATATGCAGACTTACCATGTGTTCCACGTGGGCAGACACATATGAAGCGGTTGATGAGGTTAATACAGGTTCCTCTGTTGAGACAGGGCTTAGACTGGCATTCATCTACATCATACTCACAGTTCACCCCCTGGTAACCTGGTTTACACTGGAGCAACAGACCAGAGACCAAGGTTAGCTCTTTGTGCACTTTAGGAATAAACGTTGCTGGTTTGGTATTAACATAAAACCTGAAGCATAAAATATTTAAAACACACATATACGCAAACAACTGAGGATGTTCTTACTATGCACTCATATGTGCCCTGGTAGTCCTTGCATGTAGCTCCGTTGCGACAAGGGTTTGACCGGCACTCATCAATCATCTCTTCACAGTAGCTACCCGTGTAGCCTGTCTGGCACCGACACTGGTGGGACTTGCCCACATTTTCACACCGCCCAGCATTCTTACACACACTCTCCACTACCATACCTAGAGTGATTTGGAAAAGGACATGCATATGGTGAATAAAAACTGTGAATCTACTTTTCAATTAGTGTCTATTTTAATATTTCTGTTCACAATTTACCATAATCTATTTAGCATTTATTAGCAGTATATAAACATTTACTCAATGTTTATAACACACTATAGAGTAGTTGCTAAGTGTATAAGGACAATTTAAATGTAAATTAATATGCTTAATATATTTGTAAATTTATAATTCCACCTATGAAGACATACTTTAGTATCACAACTATGTTTTATAATATTGTTATTCATTATGTCTTTCCACTCATGGGTTACCATGAGTTGCATACAAATTTATCAACAATATACATTAATAAACACCTGCTACATACCTGTACACCTACAAATACATGATGATGTCTTAGAAACTGTTTATTAAATGTTTATATACTACTTAAAATGCTACATGGGGTAATTAAAGTGTTACTGGATTTTGTTTGATGAAACTGTACGAGGGAGCCAACACAATGTGTTTGGCTACTACCTAACTTTTCTCTCGTACCGACTTTGCCTTCATCTAACAAAATTTCATCATTACTCAGAAATTATATCTGTCCTTATTCTGACTACAAACAATGTGATGTTTGTCACTGAGGTAACAACTCAACAGGAAGTAGTCCCTCACCATTCCGGGCAGCAAAGTCCTGGCAAGACATGTTGGGGACATCACAGTAAAGTCCCGTCCATCCCATTAGACAGCGGCAGGTCCATGAGGTTCCTGTTTGAGAGCAGTTGTGACAGCGCACCTGGTTACACAGGTTCACAGGGCTCTGTAAACAAAAAAATTACAGCTGGTTGTAAATGTTACACAGAGACACTATATACAGCCAACATATGTTTTATTGTTATTATTTTATTTATCTTGGCTGAGGAAGCTGCTCAGGATTTCCAATACGCATGTACTCTGTACTTGTGTAAATGGCAATACAATTTTATCTATCTACAGAAGAAATCTCAGTTAGTCTTTGGTAGCACTGACTTTAAATTGGTTAACTTGGGTCAAATGCTTCAGGATTCCTTCAACAAACTTCTTACAATAAGTTGCTTGAATTTTATTCCATTCCTCCTGAGAGAACTGGTGGGACTGAGTCAGGTTTGGAGGCCTCCTTGCTTGCACAGGCTTTTTCAGTTCTGCCCATATACTTTCTAATGGACTGAGGTCAGGGCTTTGTGATGGCCACTCCAGTACCTTGACTTTGTTGTTCTTTAGCTATTTGCCACAACTTTAGAACTCTGCTTGGGGTCACTGTACAATTAGAAGACCCATTTGTGACCAAGCTTCAACCTCCTGGCTGATGTCTTGAGATGTTGCTTCAGTATATCCACATCATCTTCCTTCCTCGCGATGCCATCCATTTTGTGAAGTGCCCCAGTCCCTCCTGCAGCAAAGCACCCCCACATGCTGCCACCCCCATGCTTCACGGCTGGGATGGTGTTCTTCTGCTTGTGAGCCTCCCCCTTTTTCTTCCAGACATAATGACGGTCATTATGGCCAAACAGTTACATTTTTGTTTCATCAGACCAGAGGACATTTCTCCAAAAAGTAAGATCTTTGTCCCCATGTGCATCTGCAAACCGTAGTCTGCCTTTTTTATGGCGGTCTTGGAGCAGTGGCTTCTTCCTTGCTGAGCAGCCTTCCAGGTTATGTCGATATAGGACTCGTTTTACTGTGGATATAAATACTTTGGTACCTGTTTCCTCCAGTGTCTTCACAAGGTCCTTTGCTGTTGTTCTAGAACTGATATGTACTGTTTGGACCAAAGTAGATTCATCTCTAAGAGACAGAACTCGTCTCCTTCCTGAGCAGTATGATGGCTGCGTTGACCCATGGTGTTTATACTTGCATAGTATTGTTTGGACAGATGAACATGGCACCTTCAGGCATTGGGAAATCGCTCCCAAGGATAAACCAGACTTGTGGAGATCCACAGAAATTTTTTTCTGAGGTTTATTTTGATTTTCCCATGATGTCAAACATACAGGTACTAAGTTTGAAGGTCTGCCTTAAAATACATCCACAGCTTCACCTCCTATTGTTGTCAATTAGCCAATCTGAAGATTCTAAAGCCATGACATCGATTTCCAGATTTTTCAAAGCTGTTTAAAGGCCCAGTCAAATGAGTGTATGTCAAGTTCTGACCGACTGGAATAGTGAAAGATAAGTGAAATAATATATCTGTAAACAACTGCTGGAAAAATCCTAACCAACTTGCTAAAACGAGAGTTTGCTTGAGAGAAATATTTTCACTTAGGTGAAAATAGGTGATTATATCCACACCAAGAATATGTGCAAGGCTATTTTAAAAAGTATCAATGAAAAAAAAGCTACAAAATTTTTCAAACTCCCCCACTACCACCCATTTTCAGCATCTGAGCACTCAGTTTTGTTTGTGTAGTCCATTTCTTCTACTTTTGTACTTAGCTAGCCCACAAATCACCAATTGATAAAGCAAAGAGCACTGCACACAAGGTCCTTGATACTTGTATCCTGGGTACTTTACTTGTACATGTCAATAAATATTAATCAGCTTTCACGTATGATGCAGCTCATACACGTTACCACCAAACCCACTTCTTCTTCTTCTTTCGGCTGTTCCCATTAGGGGTTGCCACAGCGAATCATCTGTTTCCACCTCACTCTATCCTCGGCATCCTCTACTCTCACACCAGTTAACTTCATGTCCTCTTTTAACACATCCATATATCTCCTCTTTGGCCTTCCTCTTGACCTCTTGCCTGGCAGCTCCATCTCCAACATCCTTCTACCAATATAACCACTATCCCTCCTCTGCACATGTCCAAACCATCTCAATCTGGACTCTCTGACCTTGTCCCCAAAACAGCCGACCTGAGCTGTCCCTCTGATGTGCTCATTCCTAATCCTGTCCATCCTGGTC